TTTTCCAGACAATCTGTCTTTCAACTTACTTTATAATAAATATCTGATGATGATCACAGATACATGCCTTTTGGGATGTAGTATAATTCATAATCTGCTGTTTACTAACAAGTAATTTCTGACTTATTACATAGTATAAATTTGTAAATACTGTTTCTGAGTTTTTCCTTTATATGCTGTTTGCTATCTGACTTTGTGGTAAGTGACACAAATTTTATGTGTAAGACTAAGTATTATCATATGTTTTTCTGAATCCTATATGGATTTTTGTAATTATGCTTGATTCACAATTGGGGCTTAGCAGTACACAGATGTCTAAAAGCCTTATATTTAAAGAAACATTTGTTTGTTCTATCATTTTATTTTGTTTCCAGTGCTATTAAAATAAATATATTGCCTCCATTGTTCTAAGTGTTACTTGGAACTATTCCTCTTGCTAAGAGTAGAGCAAGGAATTAAAAGTTGCAACTGATGTCACGTTGTAGTTGGTTGCCCTTCTTCACACTTACCACAGCAAATTCCCTCCAGCTTGGAGAGAAACCAATATCTGGCACTGATGGACCCAACTGAAACCTCATTTGCTGGATATCTCCTTGAGTAATGGTTGGCTGCAGCTATTATAGATTGTGGCCACTATTTCCTTTACATGATTTTAGTCCCATTAGATTCACTTTTAGGTTATAGTCTTCACGTCAGGGAGGTTTTCCCAAGGCAGAATTAAGTAGAACCAGGAAATGTTACTGGATTGAATCCTGTTTTACTCAGGAAAAAAGTCTATGGAAGTAGGTGAGAGATGCAACTACCTCGGTCTGCAGAACTCTGCCTGTAATTGATAATGAACTGTACTAACAATTGGAATACTTGAAACTGCTCACTTGTTTTTACTAGACCGTCTTAAATATTGAGTGAAAGGAAAATACTATGTAATGTGAGAGAGCCTTGATTCCTATTTCAACTAAATACAAAAGGTTTTTTAAAGAATTAGTTAACAAAAGATTAGACTGTAACTTTCAGCATAACCACAAATCTGTAGTATTAAAATGAAAAGATTCTAATATTCTTTAAAGCAGAAAGTACCACTGTCTTATTGACTATTTAAGGCTCTGTCTGTCACAGGTGTCATGGAAGTCATTGGTGCTGTGATTTCTGCAATGGCCAGTGTGGCTGTCCAGCTGGGTCCAGCCACACCAGCTGCTGCTGGAGCGGCTCTGCAGCCAGCCGCATGTGTTCAATCTCAAAGACTAAGAACTTTTCAAAAAAATTCCCACTGTGCCTGAACATTGGAAGCTCTAACTAGGTTGGCTGTTGCCTGCATTGCTATCTGGTAGAGTTGAATGGGGGTGGGAGGCAATTCCTGCAAAATGTCTTTAGTGTAGATAAGGTCTTAAAGAGTAATAATTGAAAAGGTCATGCTTGTAAATGGCTGGAAGGACAAAAACCACAATTGTATGCAGTGTTGTAGCTATGTCGGTCTCAGGATATTAGATACACAAGGTGGGTGAGGTAATACCTATTATGGGCCTGACTTCTGTTGGTGAGACAGACCAGCTTTTGAGCTTACACAGAGCTCTTCTTCAGTTTTGGGAAACGAGCTTGTTTTTCTCACCAACTGAAGCTGTGCCAATAAAAGATATTACCTCATTCACCTTGTCTCACTAAAAGCCACATCGGCAATGTTTACTTTGACATAAGCACCTGAATAAAATTATATCTGATTCTCTAGATTGTGATCTATAGGTTTGTAGGCTTCCCTGACTCAGTTTCCTCTATTACGGTGATGTGCTTAAGGTAAGAGAAAAGACATGATACGAGTGGGACTGGAGGAAGAGGATCGTGTTTTAGGAGAAATCTAGTTTGGGAAACACTAACTAAAATTCATATGTGAAAAAGCAGTAACCACATTTGGTATAAGCCCTGCTTTTGCATATAGCTTTGTTTTAACGTGATTTTTAGTGGAAAACCAAACACCACCTTTCTGTGTGCACCCAAAACTATTGATACTTACCATACAAACAGGAGCGCCGGCAGCCTTTTTGGTGCCCTAGGCCGCGGAACGTCCCGCCCCTGAAATATTGCCGATGACTGCGGCGGCCGGATGTTCGGCTGCTGCGGTCGCCACCCCCCAAATGTCAGCGCCCTAGGCAACCGCCTAGGTCGCCTAATGGGTTGCGCTGGCCCTGCATACAAAGGGAAATAAACATAAAACTCTGTGGTGAACAGAAATTGTAGATGGATACAATGTCTCCAGTGAGGACACAGGTCTAAATGGATTTGCTTCTTTTCCTAATTTAAATTGCAAATTTCCATAGCTTGTGCAAAGGGGGCTTTTGCCAGAGCATCATGTTCTTGATGTTCTCTGCTCTACAGCTGAAGCCCAGTTATAGGGGTAATTCATCTGCTCTTTAAGTTCTACCACTTTTTTAGCTGATTCATACGACCTGATTGTTTTTATGTTGCTCTTCTTTCCTTACCTCACAAGCTGGTTTCTTGCATGCTATACGAAGGATTGGCTATGTGACCAGTGCAATATACTCTAAGGTAAAACTGCACATCTCGTGTATTAACATCAATCTTCATATATGGGCAATGCATTGGTCACTTACAAAACACTTTTCATTCTGCTTTATGCTGAAAAGCCTGAGCTATGTTCAGCTATTTACAAGCAGACAGAAAAATGCAATATATTGAATTTGTAAAAAGACAACACTGGAGGTGCTACATATGGCAATCCCCTGAATCCTAGTGTTAAGGAGTAAATATTAAGAAGGTTACATCATATGAAAACAAAGATGTGTGAAAGGGAATATGAGTAAAAGGAAACACTTTGAATAATCAATGTCTAACAAATTCATGGGACCTACTTCTACAATCTCTTAAAGCACAGATCTTGGTATGGTTCACAAGTGGAGTAGATACATGAATAAAAATAGCTTGTGTAATTATACTATATCTAGGATAAAATTGCAGAACTCTAAACATCTGCTTTAGGCTATTAATGGAATGTCAGCTAAGGTTAGGAAGAAAGACTTCCTTGTATTAATTACTAGACATGGTGTGTCTCTCACCACCTCACTGAAGCATGTGCTGTAAGCCCCACCTTATCCCTTGTGTACCAACCTAGGTAGACCAGTGTTCTATAGCAATGGCCATGGGTGTTCTATATAGAATGTGTCATGAACCACTGAATGAACATACAATGCAGAATACTAAAGCATAGATTTACTGGCATGAGGGACCGGCTATAAGCATTTACTATGGATAGCTGGAAGTCATAGAAGATTAGGGTTGGAAGAAACCTTATGAGGTTATCTAGTAAAACCCCCTGCTCAAAGCCGGACCAATCCCAACTAAATCATGTCAGCCAGGGCTTTGTCAAGCCAGGCCTTAAAAACCTCTGAAGATGGAGTTTCCACCAGCTCCCTAGGTAACCCATTCCAGTGCTTCACCACCTTCCTAATGAAATAGTTTTTCCTAATATCCAACCTAGATCTCCCACCCTGCAATTTGAGACCATTGTTCCTTGTTCTGTAGTCTGCCACCACTCAGAACAGCCTAGCTCCATCCTCTTCGAAACCCCCCTTCAGCTAGTTGAAGGCTGCTATCAAATCTCCCCTCACTCTTCTCTTCTGCAGCCTAAATAATCCCAGTTCCCTCAACCTCTCCTCATAATTCATGTGCCCCAGCCCACTAATCATTTTGGTTGCCCTCTACTGGACTGTCTCCAATTTGTCCACATCCTTTCTGTAGTGGGGGCCCCAAAACTGGACACAATACTCCAAATGTGGTCTCCCCAGTGCCAAATGGAGGGGAATAATCATTTCCCTTTGATCTGCTGGCAATGCTGGTACTAATGCAACCCAATATCCCTGCTAATATGTGGGGTGTTCCTTCTGTCAGTTAAATGATAGCTCTTCAGTTCTCTCTGTAACTTCTGCATTGTTAGATAGATAAGGTGACCTTAACAGAGGCATGACATTTACAGTAAAAGGCTTGGAGTGTGAAAGCCTTTTGATATAGGTGAGGATATGTGGTCATGCAGTTGTTAGTTGTTTGCCTGAATGGTTAGTATCTGATACTCAGAACAGTGAATGATAAAAGGAATAATATAGTTCAATTATATATGACTGGAATTCTATCCACAAATACTCTGAAGCTTGAGTTGTAGAATGTTTGTTATTTAGCCCTGGGATTGAATTGATGTACATTATAATTATAAAATAAATTGGAATATAAATATTGTACTGACATTTCAGTTTATAGTGTAGATAGAGCAGTATAAAACAATCATTCTATATGAAATTTTAGTTTGTACTGACTTCTCTAGTGCTTTTTATGTAGCCTGTTAAACTGGGCAAATATCTAAATGAGTTGATGTACCCCCTGGCGACCTCTGGCTCTGTGTATCCCTAGGGATACCTGTACCCCTGATTGAGAACCACTGCATTATGTCCTCTGCAGGAATCTCCCAACCGCTAGGATTTCCCCCCTCACCTTTAAGATGTATTAACATCATCTATGAATTTCGTGTATGTGCCGTTCACTTTTTCAGCTCCTTAATCAAGATGCTAAATGTGAGCAGATGGAATAGGGCAGAGCAGGAGCTTCTTGAAGGGCTGAAACCCCAGCCCAAGGTAAAAATACCACTTCTCAAGTGCTGGCGCAAATTACAAGAGGCAGAGGAGGTGAAAAAAATTACATTCCCTAAGGCTCATTGACAGCCTGGAAATAGGTGGCAGCGATTGAGGAAACCACACAAAGGGGTCAGAACTACGTACTGAAGCAAATAGCGAACCTGTTTGTTTAATAGAGAGAGGGAAAGAGAACCCCGCTTAAATAATGTAAGCACACAACTCTACTTAGCAAGCTCTAACGCAAACCATTACAAAAGAAAGGGAGAGCACATTGCCTGATCGCACACACTGCGGAGTGACTTAACATGCCACGCGAGTTTGGGGAACTAAAGGATGGGGGTTCTGCTCCTCTCCCTCTCCCCGCCCCCCTTTTCCTACGTCAGAACCAAAAGCCAGCACAGAAGCTGCGTGCTGCTGACTGAGCTAGAAGGGGCTTCCGGGGGAGAGAGCTTTCTGCAGAAGACGTGCATCTAGCAGAGGGGCAGAGTGAGCGGGGAGCTGCACAGGTGCAAGCTCAGAGCAGGTAGGAGGCTATTGGAGCGTGCTGCAGTGCGGAGGAACTGCGGTGACCAGCGCGCTCAGCAGATGCATGCCGGCTAGAGGGCTAGATTGCGGGATGGGGTAGGCGGTTGCTGCATCAACCCACAAGAGCTGCTCTCCTTATTCCCCTCTGCCCCGGGCAGGGCCGGCTCTGCACCCTCCACGCGGCAGGGGAGGGTGCCGAGCCTGGCCGAGAGCCCGCAATCCCCGACCGGGCCGAAGCGCTGGGAGCAGGGCGGAGAGCCCGGCGGCCAGAGCGCCGGGGCTCTCCGCGTTCCCGGGCGGCCAGAGCGCCGGGAGGAGGGTGGCAAGCCCAGCCGGGGCTCGTCCGCTCTCCCGGGCGGCCAGCCCAGTCGCGCCCCGCTCTGGGGCCGGAGGGCAGCGCCGCACCCCTCCAGGCGCCGCCCCAAGCATATGCTTGGTGGGCTGGTGCCTGGAGCCGGCCCTGGCCATGGGGGGCATGGATTGCTCTCCCGCCAGTGCAGAGGAAGAGGCTGTTTTATTGCTGGAGCAGAGCCGCGGTGCCTCTGCTTCAGCAACCAGAGGGCTGAGGCGGAGTGCAGAAGGGCAGCTGGAGGCGGTGGGGAGGTGCAGCTCGCGTGCCGCAGAGGCGCTGCGGCGGGGGGGACCAGTCTCCCGCTGGGGTCTGGGGCTAGGGTGACCAGATTAGTAGTATAAAATATCGGGACGGGGGCGGAACAAAAAAAAAGAGTTTTAAAGGGGCCTGGAGCTGGGGCTAACCGGGGCTGCGCGGGGAACAAGGGCCCTAGAAGAAAGTTCTCTGTGGGGAGGGGCTGAAGAGAGAGACCCGCACTAGGGAAAAGCTAACCCCGCTGCAGGGGAGCGGACATGGAGCCTGGATCCGTGCCTCACCCACATCCCTTCAAGCTAGCCACACTTGCCCTGAGCTTCACCCTCATTCCACTGTCTCCCCTGTTCCCTAGCCAGCCCCTCTATCACCCCACTTCCTCCTCCCCCTGACACCTCCTTCCTCCTCCCCCAGCCCCTTCCCTCACCTTCACTCTCCTTCCACTGTCCCCCAGCCTGTCACCCCACTTCCTCCTCCCTGCCCCAGCCCCTTCCCTCACCTTCACCCTCATTCCACTGCCCCCCTGTTCCTCAGCCAGCTCCCCTGTCATCCCCTTCTCCTCCCCAAGCCCCTGTCACCACTTCTCCTCCCCCAGTCCCTTCCCTCACTTTCACCCTCATTCCACTGTTCCCCAGCCCCTGTCACCCCCACTTCCTCCTCCCCACCCCCTTCCCTCACCTTCATCCTCATTCCACTGTCGCCCCTGTTCCCCAGCCTGTCACCCCACTTCCTCCCCTCCCAGCCCCTTCCCTCACCTTCACCCTCATTCCACTGTCCCCCCCAGTTCCCCAGCCAACCCCTCTGTCACCCCACTTCCTCATCCCTGCCTGAGCCCCTTCCCTCACCTTCATCCTCATTCCACTGTTGCCCCTGGTCCCCAGCTCCTGTCACCCCACTTCTTCCTCCCCCAGCTCCTGTCACTCCCCTTCCTCCTCTCCCAGCCCCTTCCCTCACCTTCACCCTCATTCCACTGTACCCCCTGTTCCCCAGCCCACATCACACCACTTTCTCCTCCCCCAGCCCCTCTGTCACCCCACTTCCTCCTCCCTCAGTCCACTGTCTCCCTTTGCCCCTTCCCTCACCTTCACCCTCATTTCACTGTCCTCCCTTCCCCTCCACCCCTTTCCAATCCATCACCCCATCTCCTCTTCACACTCATTTCAGTGGCTTTTCTGTCCCATTCTACAGTCTCTCTTCTGAGGCATGAAGGAGTGATTCAGACACAGTTGTATGCGAGTTGGGGTCCCCTTGAACTGACAGTCTCACCACCCTACTGCTCCAGAGGGAGAGATAGTGCTTAATTTGTAATGACAGTTTTTACATTCATAACTGATGCAGCAAGCGCAGAGGTGCCAGGGCTCTGGATAGAGCCCTGCACGGAAACCAAATTTATATCTGCGGATATAAAGTGGATCTCTGAGGAGCTGCAGGAATGGCAGCGGTGAAAGCAGCCGCATGTCAGGCTGCCGCTCGCAGGAGCCGTCACTGGGCAGCATGGGCAGCTCCTCTGGCATGGCTGTACTGCCCCCAGCCCTGACCACTGGGGTGAGTACCAGGCTTTATAACCGCAGCTATGTGCATCCATGGATATAAAGCAGGTATCCGCGCAGGGCTCTAGCTATGAACTGCCAAGCTTACAGGTGCTGGGGATCAGCTTTGGCAAGCCCTGGCAGAAATTAAGCACTGGTTATTCCCACTCTTCAGGTAGTACAGAGCTCCCAAACTGTGGGGCATGCTCCCCCCCTCCCACAGGGACATGGAGGAACTTCCAGCGGGCATGGTGGGGCCCAGGCCAGCCTCCACAGGGGGCGGGGAGGGAGCACCACCCAGCCCTGCTCTGCCACCAGCTCAGCCCCCTGCCACCTGGCTCGACTCCTGGCCCCGCCCCACCTCTGTCCCCAGCCTCTGCCCCTGCTGGGACTCTGCTCCTGGTGCTAGCTCCAGCTCCAGACCCACTCCCAGTTGTGGCCCCATTACCTCTGGAGCCGCAGCTCTGCTTCTGGCCCCAGCTCGGGGGCGGGGCATGACCCTGAAAACTTTGGGGACCACTGAAGTAGTAGGAGGGGTTGGCTGGATTGTGGGTGGGTATTTATGGCTGAGCAGGGCTCTCTCCAGTTATTCTTGTGGTAGAAGGGAGAACAATCTGAGTTCCCCTCACTGGGTCTCTTACTCCATATTTTCCTGCCTTACACCGATGAAACATTGGCTCAGTGCTGTGCTACGCTATATCTCAGTAGAATCTGGCCTATCTCTGAGCTGAGTAGTGAGAAGGATGTGTCAGCAGCACTATCACACTGTGATGGGGTCTGGTGTGGTAAGAAAGCAAATTAATTTCCTTGGGACTTTCGGTTTCCCTGGTACTGTTCCCACTGTGCTAATGGTCTTGCCAATTTCCTGGAACAGCAGCGATTTTCTGGAAGGTGGTGTTGGGGGGAGGGTGTGTGTGTTAGGCTTAAAGGAAAATATTCCCAGACTATGACAGACAAGGCAGAAGCTGGTTACTTTTCCCCAGATACTTATGACAAATGGCTGATGGCACAAAGGGAGCAGAAACCAAGCACAAGTCCCCTGCTGTGGGAGGAAAAAGGCTATATGCATGATCCTCTGGGTGTCTCCAGGTAGCCTATGGTCCACAGGCAGCTGGTGCAAGTTAGCGCAGCCATGAGACTGCTCTCACCTGGGCTGCGGTAGAGACACATGGAATCCTAATTAGTTGCTGGTTCTCAGCTTATGCTCTTTATCTATATATGTGTGTGTTCCCTTCTCCCTTACCTGGAGTGCCCTGGGTAACTGTCTGTGGAGGGGAGCAGTCCTTCACCATGCACTTAGGCTCAGGCTCAGTCTCAGCCAGTCAAGTTCCTGTATTGCCATCCTTGGGGCTCCCACAGCCCAGAAGGCAAGCCCTTTACCTCCTTGCTGAGTCAAACATTTCAGTTTAAAAAAATCACATTGTGCACTGAGGGAAGAGCTCTTCATTTATCAAATATATCCTTTTCTTGATAGCTACGCTTGAGGGCCACAATTTAGAGCTCTTGTGGCACCTTATAGCAGGGGTGGACAAACTACAGCACGCGGGATTGCCCTGGCCCCGGTGTGCACTGCTGCCACCCCAGAGCCCGAACGCCCCCTGCCCCCCAACTCCCTGCCCTAAGCCCCCTGCCTGCATTCACCCAGGGCCGGCTCCAGGCACCAGCTGAGCAAGCCGGTGCTTGGCGCGGCAGATTGTTCAAGGCGGCATTCTGCCCAATCCTAGGGTGGCACGGCCGCTTTTTTTTTGTTCCGCTCCGGCCGCCCTGTAGGGGGTGGCGGCGCGGAGAACCAGAGCGCCCTGCAGGGCAGTCCTCTTCCTTCCCTCCCCGCCGACTGGAGCGGAGCCCTCACGGCAGGAGGCGGCGCAGTGGGAGGGGTCGCGTGGTAGCGCCCCTGCTGTAGCCCTGGCCGCCCCCTTCTCTCTCTCTCCCACCCACTCCCCTCCCCCCTCCCCCCCAGCCGGTCCCCCTGCACCCACGCTCTGGCCGCGCCGCTAGG